TCTACGCCGGAAACCCCTCCGGCGTTGAGTTCTTGCAGGTGTTTTCGCGATTCAGCAGCGGTTTGGAGGCTATCGAGTCAGATCTGAGCTCATTCTCATCGGTTCATTCCAGATCTGGGCGGTTTCTCATCGATTCACTCCAGATATGAAAGGAGACCCATCAGAATTGATAAATGAAGATGGGGCCCAGGATTCTGATCCAGAGATACTTGGTGGTCTGGCGAAGGCGTACTTTTAGAAAATCTACACTAATGAGTAGTCGGCTGGAGCGAGTCATTTGTTGGGGACAACCTTTCCTACTTGTGATGCTACTAGGAGCCGGTTGATGACTCAGGATATTTTGGATGCGTAGATTTTTCAAGCCTTACAGCATATGGGTACGCTGAAAGATCCGAGAGTGGATGGCCTGAATGCGCTATTCTATCAGAAGAATTTTGAAACGGTAGGCCCTGCCGTGTGTGCCTTCATTAAACGGATGTGGAGGACTAAAGTGGTTCCCGAATAGGTGAATTGAACTCCCTTGGTGCTAATTCCTAAGGTGGAGAACGCACTAATGATTAAACAATTCTGACCTATAAGCCTTCTTAATGTGGTTTATAAGATGTTCACTAAGGTACTGGTGAACCGAATGAAAAGCACTCTCCCACACCTCATTCACTCGGCTCAAGCTAGCTTTGTTCTCGGTCATAATATTACAGATAATATCATCGTGGCGCAAGAAGTTGTTCACTCGATGAAGGGGAAATGAGGGGCGACAGGCTTCATGGTGGTCAAGGTGGACCTCGAAAAGGCATACGACTATCTTCGGTGGTGTTTTGTGGAGGAAACTCTTCATTTAGCCGGTTATCCAGAGAAATTTATCCGAGCCGTCATGGCTTGTTTTCGGTCGGCCTCGATGAACCTACTGTGGAATGGGGCTATCCTGGGAAGAATTCACGCCTACTCGGGCGTGCGCCAGGGGGATCCCATAACCCCTTATCTCTTTGTATTATGCATGGATAGATTGGCGCAGTGTATTTGCGCGTCCGTCGAGGCCCGTGAATGGCGACCGATTTCACTTGGGAGGGGCGCGGTTCAGGTCCCCTTCCTGATGTTCGCAGACGATTTATTACTTTTTATGGAGGCCTCGGACGATCAAGTCTTAGTGCTCTCCCGGATACTCCACCACCTTTGTGCCGCTTCCGGGCTCAAGGTAAGCGATGCGAAGACACATGCTTTCTTTTCCAATAATGTTCAGCTGCAGGAGCAACAACGTTTAGCCTCGGCCCTGAACTTTTCCTTGACTGATAATCTTGGGAAGTACTTGGGGGTCGTCATTCTTCATGGGCGAGTCACTCGATCCACATATTGTCATATTGTGGAGAAAATGGAAACGCGCCTAACCGGTTGGCGCATGAAGACTCTCTCTCGCCGGTAGAGTGACACTTACTCAATCCGCTCTAAATACTCTACCGTACTACACGATGCAAATGGCTCTCCTCCCATGTATGACTTTAGAGGGCCTGGCGAGACGGTCACATGCTTTTGTGTGGGGTGGTACGTGTAACCGAAGGCGGGTGCATCTGGTCGCGTGGAAAGACTTATGTAAACCGTGCGAAGAAGGTGGCATGGGCTTAAGAGATCTCTGCCGGATGAATGAGGCACTAATCATGAAACTTGGGTGGGGCCTTTTGACGAAGTCGAGAGCATTATGGGTGCGTGTCCTCACGGCTAAATATGGATTGGACTTTTCTGGCGGGCTGCACGTCGTTACATGGCGCGAAGGTTCCTCTTTAATTCGTGCCATCCGGGCAGTGTGGCCGAAGGTTATGAAAGGGATACGGTGATTGTGGGCAATGGGGAAGTGACCAAATTCTGGCTCGATCCATGGCTTGAGTTGGGGGAAGTTTTGATAATTCGAGTCTCGGATATCCACTATGTGGAGAATATTAATGCGAAAGTGGCTGATCTGGTGAATGTTCAAGGGGGATGGAAGTGGGAATGTCTCCACGGAGTGTTGCCGCCCTCGGTGATCGCGAGAATTGCTGAAATTTCTCCTCCTAGCCCGACGACAAGAGAGGACCGCCTTATTTGGTGTGACTCCGATGATGGTAGATTTATGACACGGTCTGCTTATAAAATGTTATCGTCGTGCGAACAGGAGCTGGTTCTCCAAATGTGGCATCTCGTCTGGCGCTCCCAAGCTTCAAAGAGGGTCCGCACGTTCTTATTGCTAGTGGTAAAACAGCGGCTCTCAACAAATTCCGAATGGGTCCGACGCCACATGTCGGCGTCTGGGTCCTGTGACTTGTGCGGCGGTCAGGAGACAATCATTCATGTATTACGGGACTGCCCGCAGGCTAAGTTATTGTGGGAACGCCTCCTTCCAGCTAATGCATGTGCTGTCTTTTTTCGGTCGGAACTCCACCACTGGATACGACACAATTTTCTGCTAACTCGGCTAGGACGATCGGAGAACTGAGGGACTTTATTCGCGGTTACAGTTTGGAGGATTTAGAAGTGGCGAAACGACCGTGTATTCTCGTCCCCTGTTCCAGGCGCAAAAGCGATGACCCAAATGGTGCTGCATGATAATGACAATTACCTGCGGGCGGCGGCGGATTATCGGAAAGTAGGGGCCAACATCTACGATACTTCCTTGCTGCGGTGGGCACCTCTGAGGGCGGGGTGGGTGAAAATCAACACAGACGGCTCGGTTAACCGACATACGGGCTTGAGTAGTGCGGGTCGCATTATCCAAGATGAGTCGGGTTATTGGCTTGTGGGGTTTATCATGAATATTGGGGCAGGTACAATGTTGAACGCGGAGCTGTGGGTCTTTTCCAAGGCCTATCTTTGGCATGGAACCAAGGATTTCGACTGGTAAGCGTTGAAGTCGATAACTTAAATGTGGTGCGGATGGCGTCTTCTTCGGAGGGAGATGTCGGCTATCAAGAGGCAATGGCGCGTGCCATCCAAGAATTCCTTCATAGAGAATGAGAGGTCCAGGTCCAACATGTGCATCGAGAAGTGAATTATGCGGCGGACTTCATGGCCCGTCTAGCGGCCTGACACCCTCCCGGGGTCCAAACATTGTCTTCTCCACCTCCCGAATTAGATCCCTGGCTCGAGCATGATAGATTGGGGGTCTCGTCTCCCCGGCAAGTTTTAGACTAAGCCCTTGGCCTCTTCCTTTCTTTGTACCAGAAAATAAAAAAAGTGGGTGTGAGGAAGAAGAGAGAGAAAGAAAATATAGAGGAGCGCGTGAGAAGAAGATGAAATAATAGATAAAGTAGTTTTAATTTACAGTTACACAAGACATCTTGCGTGTTTGGAATTCCATGTGCAATGATAATTTTATGGAACTCCTTTTTTATACCCGAAACAGGGGTCTTCAAGAGGAATTAATTAATTAATCAATCCCCCTAATTATATTCGTTAACCGCTAAAACCACTTTCACGCAGGCATCAAATCCCCCTAATTATACTCGTTAACCGCTAAAAGAGAACATGGAGAATAATGGCGCAATGAGCTACTCCGGCGGCGATCGCCCGGCGGTGATGGTCACGAACGACGACGGTATCGACGCCCCCGGCCTTCGAGCTCTCGTTCGCTTTCTGGTCTCGACCAATCGATTCCGGGTCTTCGTTTGCGCACCTGACTCGTACGTCTGCACAACTATTTTTTATCAATACACAGCTGTGTGCGTAATGTTGTTGTTCTGCGTGAAAAATTATACTTTCTGCGTGCGCGCATGTGCTGTTATCTACCGATTAACTGCTTGGTAGGTTAATTTTGCAGAAATCTGAAATTTGTCGACTTTTAGCTCGGTTGTTCTGTATTTAGATTCGTTTGTAATAGCCTCTAGTCTGGTTGACTGATTGTGCAAACATCTGAATTTTGGAGTATTGTAATATGATCTTCAAATTGTAGCTGCCTATGATATGTTTATAATTACCCACTGTAATGTAAGTTCATGATATGTGAGAAGTCTTTTTAGGAGGACGGCTCGATTTGTTGGAGTTCTTTCTAGTAGATGTGGATTTAGTTTCTGGAGAGTGATAACCTGACAAACAGAGAATTAATAGAGACGATTACATACGTGCAAATTAACGGATTAGATGGGAGAATGCTGCCTAGGCTTCCCTACAATGAACAAATATAGGAGAAAAAGATTTATTAAAGACTAAACAAGCAATCACACACACACACACACACACACACACACATATATATATATATACACACATATACACATATATATTTTACATTGTTTGTGATGGTATCACATACCAAAGTACAAATCTAATTGAAACATTACTTCATATCTGCACAAATGTAGAAGTGTTTGGTAATTGACGGGTGCTCAGTCTTGACCCCATTTTATTTTTCTGTTTCAGCCCTCTCTCTTTGATATTTCTGTTGTTGTTTGTCTCTTAATTTTTTATTTCATTCTCTTCCATAATGGTTTGAAAGTTGGTTTAACCTTTTCAACCAGTTGTTCATTTTTATATTTCTAACTAGATGAGTTGAAAATTTTCAATCTTGGGAAGAAATTGCATAATTTTTGCACCACTCTTTGTTGAATTTGTTTTATATTGCAATTTATGACAATATGACAATTGTGATTATATCAAGCAGTCAACTAAAAGCCTCATCTATCATTTTAAGTTATGTTGTCTGTTTGATAAAAAGCCTTTTAGTTTATAGGCCTTGTTATTTCTCATTCACTTTTCTACTTATCCAGTGAAAAGTCTGCTGTTAGTCATAGTATCACGTGGAGAAATGCTATTTCTGCCAAGCCTGTGGAAATAAGTGGTGCTACTGCTTTTGCAGTATCTGGTAAGTTGCAATGAGCCATATTTTCCTATCTTCAATATGTTTTAATTTGGATTGTTGAATCACTCCCAGGAGATTTTTTAGAATTTCCAGTCAAAAGCCCATACAGGATATTCAAGAATAAAATACTTCTATTGCAATGATGTATAAGAAGTTGTATCTTAATTAGTTTCTTGTGAAAAGAAAGGAATTGGTTACAAATCATTCATAGGTTAAAGAAGTCATATTTAGTTAGCTCTCAACTTAGTTATGTTCTAGATACTTCTTTTCTCTATGATGATATCTTTCTGAAGTTTTGAGAAGTGTGATTACACTTGTATTTGAAAATGCCATGTTTGGCTTGAAATGGAATGAAACACTTTCTCAATTCTTTATGCTGATTCAAGATCTAAAATCTGATTTACTTAGTATATTATCTGTTCACTGAGTAATGACTTAAAATGGGGAATTGGAAGAAGAGGATGTTGGTAAGTGGTTTGAGGAGGTGGTCATGTGAAATGGTATCTGAGTGAGCGTACTCTTAATAACGAGGCAGATTTCGTGTATGTCACGCTTAGAAACTTATTATATGGATGGCATGAGGAGGGCTGATTTGATGTTTAGTTTATTTTGTATCAAAGACCTTTTAATATCAAGATTATATTATCTCTAAATGTGGTTTTAGATACAAGTTACATGTACTCAGAAGCCAGACTTGGTTAACTACAGTTATCTATATATCATTAAGGTGAAAGAAGTTTAAATGTACCATATAAGTTTTTACCACTGCCACTTGTATTATTTTGAAGAGATGCTGCAGTTATATCTAAACTTTAATAACCATTTGGTTTTGTCCACTTTCACGTGTACTAAATAAAATTAATCATGTTCGTTTTTTTCTTTAACCTGACGATATAGCCATATAAACAAAAAATTATTTTTTCATATTTATATAAATAGTTTTTAAAAGGTTATTTGTATGTTGTACATTATTATTTGTTTAATCATTTTTTCAAATTTAAAGTTGCAAATTTTGTAGTCTGAATATGTTATCTCAAAAAAGATGATAAGTACCACGTTTGGTGAATGAGATATTTTGTATATTTTCTTCAGAAATTGTTTGTTGGAAATCGTAAAAACTAAACACTGGAACATAACCACTTACAAATGTTCTAAAAGTTTCTGTCACATTTGACGAGTGAGTGAGGATATTTTTGAAATTTCTTGAAAAGATTTTCCGACATTAAAAGAAGAAAACATTTATACTATATTTTTTCAAAATACGAAATGAGATTCATGTCACGGCGTTTGTATTTGTATGCACATTGTATTTGTGGGTAGTGATCTTTAAATCTATATAGGATGAATCAAAGGAGTTCTGCAGCGTGCACCTTGTATTGTGGGCTTAGACCGGTTCTAGAAAGTCATGTCGAGACAAATTAGAAAATCGAATAGGAACGAAAATACAAAGAAATGAAGGGGTATCAAATTGGATTTATTTGTATCTGAACCGAATCTTGTCTATCTCAACTTCGACTTTTTCTTCTTTCACGCAACTAATTTAACCTTTCAAATTCAAAGAAAAGAAGTATTCACATTTCTTTTGAACGAATGAAAAAAAGAGAAAATCGAATTTCATTTATAGACACTTTTTTTTTAATATTTCAATTTCATTACTGTTTTTAACAAATAATGTTGTCAAATTATTGCATGTGTTCCTTGTGTTAGACTACTAGTTTAATTTATGGGCTTAACATGGAATGCGTTGCTAATGGATTTTTCTGTTGGATTTATGCTTGGTTTACTATGATAATTCTTATAATTCATATGATTCAATTTGTATTTTACTTTGTACTTAGTTTGATTCATTTATATGAACTAATTGACCTCGCTCATGCATGCTATATTTCATGGGTGAAGAGTACTTGTTAATTTAAGATAACTTATAATAATTGTGCTGGATGTTGTTTCTCATTGTAGTTTATTGGGAGAGATCCTTGCAGGATTGGCGTGGAATCTCTATTTGGAATATTCATTTTCTTAAGTTGTTATGAACTATAGTTCTGAATCCTAGTATCTATTGATATATTGCTATTGCTGAAAACTCGCACATTTATGTTGTATTTCAGGAACACCTGCTGATTGTACATCTTTGGGAATTTCGAAAGCTCTCTTCCCTTGTATACCCGATCTGGTAAGTAATATTAGATTTTCTTTAGCTGAAACAGTGATGCACACTCTGTGGATCAATCTTTTTTCACCTCTTTCCTTTAGTTTCCTAATATTTGCTTCAGCTTGTGTCATGAATATAGAGCCATCATATGGGGGTGCTTACAGTTTATTTGTTTTTTCCCCTTTTTTTTAAACTCTGAATCCTCTAGAATAGTAGTATTAGGAAAGGATAATTATACCCCATAATTATGGGATTTGATTACCCTAATTAGTCTCTTCCTAGTACTATAAATAGGGCCTCTTGTATTGAGAAATACATTATTTCTTCCAGATAACACCTCTATTTACCTAGCATTTCAATGATTTAATTTAGCTTGCAGAGGTATGATCTCCTGTTTGCTATCCCTTCCTACTGGTCATTCATCGTTGCATGCTACCTAGTTTATGTTAAATGAACGGCTTATCTATGAGTCTTACACTCTTACTATATTTGTTTTTCCAATTAGAAGAGCTGCTTAAATGGGTTCGTACTCTAATCTTTATTTGCAGGTAATCAGTGGCATTAACATGGGTAGCAACTGCGGTTATCACATGTTAGTACTGTTACCTGTACATGACCTTTAACACACTTGATATATTCAGGTTTTTTCTAGAGATTGAGAATGTGTTGTAAACGCTTCAGTTCTTGAAATTTTCTTTCAGTTAGCAGATAGTGGTTGTTATTATTATTTTAAATGTAGAATGAAGAAATTTCGAGATGGGAGATGCATATGAGATGAAATGTATTGATTACGATTGATTTGATGTTAAAATAATAAAATGATGATTGGATTTGATTGGTTGATAGAACTATTTGAGAAGATAAATGAGTTAAATTTATGAGAAAATGTGTTATAATGATTAGGGATTTATTGACTTTAAAATGGAATTGAAGAGGTTGGTAGGAGAACAAAGTGAAAGTCAGTGTAGTATCTGTATGGTTTTTTTTTTTTTTTTTTTTTTTTTTTTCAATTTCAGTATCTCTCATCAAGAGAGATTTTCAAATTGATATTACATCCAATTGCAATTTTCATTCCGAACATTAGATGATTTTCTAAAGGCTAGTTTTCCAGTAATGTGGAATGGAAAGAAATTGACAATCATAAGTCAATTTTCAACGTTTATAATTTTTATTTTATCAGGGACTCAGCAATCATTATGTCCCGGTTGTAAATCGTGCCTCTGTTGACTACTATTCTTGATATATGCAGTGTTTATTCAGGGACTGTCGCAGGGGCTCGGGAAGCATTTTTCAATGGCGTACCAGCCATATCTGTATCATATGATTGGTATGCATGCCATAGTTCTCCCACAAAAAATTTGATAATTGCAAATTTGTTTAAATGGACTTCTTGGAAGTCAAATTAGTTAATCCATATTTCCTATTTGATTAATATTTGATTTTAATATTCTTAACCCACCTCTTAAGTCGTATGGCTTATTGTGATTTGTCATCTAAAGAAGTTCAGTGTAATTTTCTGTACTGATGGCTGCTGCACATCAGGGTTGGTGGGAAGAGTAAAGTCGATGATTATGCTCTAGCAGCAGAAGCTTGCTTACCCATAATTAGTGCCTTATTGGCTGAAATCAAGAAGAAAACTTATCCTCCAAACTGCTTCCTGAATATAGATGTCCCGACAGATGTTGTGAATCACAAGGTAGTATTTGACTTGTATGGTCAATATTATTGTGATTGAATTGAGTGTTAAGTTAATTTGATGCAAGGTTCTTGGTTTTGCTTACCTCGCCTTCCGAATTTTAGTTTTAAAATCCTATTTGATAACAAAAATTAAAAATTAAAAAGGTCTATTGTAGACCTGTTTTCTGTTTTTTCTGTTAAATGATGAGAGAAGGATGCTTAGACGCTTTTTTGGCCTCGAGCAGGGTTATCGACTAACCAAGCAAGGCAAGAGTATTGTGAGAATGGGGTGGACGCAAGTAACTTCTGATGCTAAAGGTGGAAAAATGTTATCGACAATGACCATGGATACTGATTCATCATATGTAGAAGAACCCTCAAATGCAAAAGACGCGCATCTCGTATTCAAGCGAGAAGTATGATGTTTCTTTTTACACTAGAAAAATGAGATACTGCATTCTCATTTTAGTATTCCACTATTGTGATTTTTTTTTTTCTAAATTGGAATTTTGTCTTCGTCCTTTTGTTTTATTCTTATTATTCCAGGTCATTGGATCACAAGTGGAAGATGGTGACACAGACTACTGTTCTCTTCAAGAAGGATATGTACGTCTAATATGCAATGCATAGTGAGGTCCGTATGGTCAGCGATTAATATATGTCTTTCCTATTGCAGATAACCATCAGCCCTCTAGGCGCCTTGTCTCCTGCAGAGCCTGATAGTCAGGCGTACTATAAGCAGTGGCTGCCTGGTGTTACTGAATTCTTCTCTTCTTCTTCCCTGTAAAGTGGAAGCACCACCAGTTTTCTTTAGAACTGTGAGTGTTGAACGTACTGCAAATTATGCTTTACTTTTCCTCCCCCACAAGATCTCAATGTTGATTGGAAATACCTTCTGTTGATTTTTTATTTTTATTTTTCTGTAATAACTATTTTAGGCAGTGTTTGCAATGTACTTGAAAGAAGTTATTGTCAATTTTTGGCTCAAAGAAAAAATAGTTCCTACAGTTTCCAGATTCTGGTGTTTGACTCAGATACTGCATAATCTATTCAGGTTTTGAAAGAAATAGAGAGGTTTCTAAGATTCCTATGCTTCTTTTTTGATTTTTCAAAGGAATAAGATTGCCACAACTTATTTGCTGAACACTATCTTTAACCATGTGTTTTTAGCTTATAGAATAATACACTTCTTTAAAACCATAACTGTTTACAAACACTCCCTTCATATGGTTATTGAGTTTATCCATGTTTCAAAAACGTTCAGATCTTAGATTAGCGAGTAGCATATATATTGAAGGAATTGGGTAGAACTGACATAAAACTACTCATGCTTGGACGTCTCTTTATTTAGATCCTCATATGATTCCTTATGTTTTTTCCTTTTAGTGCCTAATATTACGTCTCATATCCAGTCTCAGGGCTCTCGAATCTGATGATACTTCAGAGTGGCAGCTTTAGTTCCAAGGGAAGCCTTCCTACAGGTACCATCATTCCTACTCCTGGGATGATTGGTTAACAATGTCATAATTTTTTCCTTATATTCAAACCAAAATCTATTTATGGAGTCGAAATCAATTTTTGGATCCAAATTCCCTACTGATTGATTAAGAGGTGTAATAAACGAAGCATATTTGAATGATATGATTTTGATTGGGAGATACTTTCTTCTCATTGTAATAACTAATGGTGTCCGAAAAACAACATAGACATATATTCTCTTCATCTTTCAGATGAAGACCTTTGGCATGATATGCAATCTTTATGGATCTGATCTATTTCTTTTATTATTTTTTTTTCCCATGGCTTAGAATCAGGAATTATAACTTGAGGTACTTTCGCTATCTCATCTGTCTGCAGAATCCAATATATACATCATTGTAATTCCTACCAGTGTTTAGGCTGCACGTACGTTCATTTTGTTCATTGTTTTTCCTATAAAGAACAGTGATGGGAAAGTTTTAAGAGGAAATGATAAATTTTTTTAGAGTGTGAATAAATATAAGATGAAAATATAATGACTTAGTTTATGTGATTAAAAAATAAAAAAAAATATTCAAAACGATTTTTATTTAAAAATATGTGAGCGATTGGCTAGTGAAATGCGTTACGAATTTTTTTATAGTGACGATTGATTCTTCATTGAAAATTGTTTTGATAGAATAGATTATTGAAAAATGTGAGAACAAATGAATAGGGTTCTTTAATTTTTTATTTTGTTTTTTCGTAAACAATCAAAACTTCAAGGTTAAAAAATTCCTGGAAAATTTTCACTCCAGTCACTTAGTTTTCAGGGAATATGCATTAGGTCGACAGCTTCAATACAATCCAGTATTGATGAAGTCGAGCTCTATGCTTTAAGTCTAGGTATGTAAATTCAATATTTTTAAAGCCTGGCTTATTTCCTGCACAACATGACGATGCTGAAGTATTTAGGCTTATACTTATTTATCACTAGTCACCCCTTAAACTTCCGAAAGCTGTGGGGAACCTATCATAGTCTCTGTGTCAACCGTCTGAAAAGGGCAAAGGCAACAAGCCATTTACACAAAACTATCACTCAATGCTTTTGTCTAATTAAAGAAAACTGGGAAGCCAAACTGTCACATAGAAGCTAATCATCATCAACTTTCATAATTTACTATGACAATTCTCTATGCTACCTCACTCGAAAAAGATGTAAAACTACAATGTGAAAAAAGTTGCGGACAACAGTGAAAAAAAGAACTGAATCTGTAAAAATTTCTCTTGTATGTACAGTATACATTTATACGAGTTTCGACTTGTTGGTGCTTTTCTTGTGTTGTTTCTCGTTTACGTATATTTTAGGAGTGCTGTCACTTGTACGATGAAGCTTGTGGATGAGATTCCACCAAAATGGACCAAAGCACGTGCACATCTTCGCAGGGGCAGGACTTGACATCCTCGTACAGGATGTATATCCCTCTTCCTGAAAAAAATTGTCACGAACGAAAAGATGGTGAGCTTGCCAAAACCTTACATACTTCCTTTTAAAAACGGTACACTCTGTTACTATTGATGATGCTAGTTTAAGTTATGCTATGAAACTTGAGAAATGAAGATAGAGTAGGTCACATGGTAATGCAGGTTAATGGATTGGAGGATCGTGCTGCGTTTAGTTGTTGTGCCTTTTGACTCAATTTATTTTATAGAGAAAGTGCGGTAAGTATTATATTATCCTTGAAGTGTTTCAAACTACAAATACACGCTGTTTTTACAAGATGCATTAGTTGGTAACTTGTAAAAAAACAGCTAATTAAGGCTTGTAGCTCTATGGATAGATTTTTGTAAAAAGGATGAAACTCATGGGTATTTATGATAAATATATGAATCTGGGCATGGAATATAAGTGGGATTATGATCGGTCTGAGACTTTGAATTAGATTAGCAGTTAGCATTGTATGAGACGTGAAAAAAGCTACATAAATGAAGGAGAACTTGCAAGAAGTTCGTATGCGAACAATTCAATAGAAATAGAATAAGAAGGCGTACTCTTTTTTCGAGCCGAATGTAGACGAATCCATGACTTCTTTAAGGGAGAGAAGAGGTATTGTAGCCACCCCATTGGGAGAAAGAGGGGTTGCTGCTGGTCATTGATAAAATGAAAGAATTTAAAGGGGAAGTGACAAGTAAAGGTTTAGAGAGAGAGAGAAATGAATGGGGTTGTTTTTTTTTGCTTAGACAAGGGTGAAGTTTATTCTAATATAAAAAAACGTTTTCTTTCTTCTTTTTTAACTATCCCTTGCAAACCAATCATGGTGACTGCACACATTTTTTCCTCTGCTTGGTAAAATGTCTTTGTCTTGCCTTTCTCCCCCTTCTAGTAGAAGAAGCCACTCTACCTATAAGGAAGCTTTTTTTTTTTATTATTATTATTATTATCTTTTATTATTATTTTTTTTTACGAATAATAAAAATATGTTCCCTTTGTATTTATTGTGTTACTATTGTTATCTTTTTTGTATTGTCTTCACTTTGCTCTGAAGCTAAATTCTGCTACATGCATTATTATTATTATTATTATTATTATTATTATTATTATTATTATTATTATTATTATTATTATTATTATTATGGGAAATGCTACGGTCCCGTTACGGACCATTCTGTCGGGGTTTGTAACTGTTAGGGATAGTTGATTTAACGGTTACAAACTCTGACGGAATGGTTCCGTGACGGGCATCTTCTATTATTATTATTTATTTATTTATATATATATTTTTTTTTGAGTGTTTTGTTGTGAGGAGATTTCTTTTATGGCTCGTGTGTTGTAAGAAAACATTCCCACTTTTAGGTACTTAGGAGTATTTCTCAAGTATTTTGTGTTTGTTGGTCCACGTATACTAGTGAGGCTTCTCTCTTTTGCCGTCAAGATTAGTGCTTTTGATGAGTCATGGTTTTTATTTTAAGTTAAAAAAATTCTCCCAACAGTTTTTTTTTTTTGGTCCAATGCAGCCGCACTTTTTGTTTTGTACGTATATTTTTCTGGTAGAGAGAATTAATAATTTAACATGATTAAATTAGTCAATGTCAGTATAATGACTAATCATCAAGTATCATACTTTAATGGTTTTGCTTATTTTATGTGACCATATTAAATTAAATATACAAAAAAATTAAACTACTATACAGTTTTGCTATGGAGCCATCAGATGGCTCGACTTATGGTTTTGCATATTTTATGTGGCCATATTAAATTAAATATACAAAAAAAAAGAAAATACTATACAGTTTTGCTATGGAGTCATATGATGGTTTGACTTGTAGAGTCATTCACAGTTATTCATAAATAGTGTATTGACATGTGTCCTACAATAAATGCATTTTGAACAAGTGTCAATACATTAACTGATAGATGACTCCATAAAAAAATCATCCGATAACTCCATATTTCTATATAGCTTGCCAAATATTAACATGTGATGATATCAAATCCCTCGATAAAATATTATATTAGTGAATGATATGTCTATGTATTATTTAACTAATACGATAGTATGATACTCGTGTGTACCATAAATAATATTCTTTTTGTGAATTTTTTTTTTTCGAAACGATAGGGAAACTATTATAAATCAAAACGCACAAAGTTGGAATAAAAGTACAAAGCTCCCAGCGGGAGAATAAAATGAGAAGACAGGTCTGACGATCGCCTAGAATCCCGATACTAGCAACGCTAGAAACCAAAAAATACACCAACCTCAAAAGGGTAATAATAAAAAACATAAACAACACAACACCAAGACCCCAACAGGGTAATACCCGAGTGTCGGATTCCAACAGGGTAATAAAGGTGCCACCCGAGCTCACAGAGGCTAACGACCCAGACCTAAAATACAAGAACAAATCAAGAAACAAAATAGAACAACACAACTAGGAAACAAAAAAATACAAGCTCTTCCCAAGTAACAAGACCAAGCAGAGCCGGCGGAACCAAGTCAACTCAGAGTGAATCCCACAGCCAAACAGGATCAACCCGAAACTGCCTAACACCAACTCGGTGGCCTAACGAAGTCGAATCCTAGCTCCAGAACACCACCCAAAATCAGACCTGAACCATGACCCCCACACCAAGATGCTTCAAGACCCGCACATGGCCGGAGAACCCCCGAAACACGAAGATGCCGGCCCTGCTGGACATGGCTTGGTGCACGGGCATGGTCGCTCGCGTGCTCTGGTGTGCCACTGGGCACGGCATGATGGTCGCTTGTGAATTTAACTAATGAAAAGATATGAGAAAATTAATTCAAATAAATTTTATAATTTTTA